GCCAGGCACGGTGGCACATGCCTGTAGTCCCAGCTACTCGGGAGGCTGAGGCAGGAGGATCACTTGAGCCCAGGAGTTTGAGGTTGCTGTGAGCTAGGCTGACTCCACGGCACTCTAGCCCGGGCAACACAGTGAGACTCTGTCTCAAAAAAAAAAAAAAAAAATCTGTTTTCTTCCTTCAGTGTTCTTTTGGTCTTCTTTGATAGGATGAGCTATTAAGCAGACAGAATTAAAAAATACTGTCAAGCTGTGCAACTATTCACAAATTCCACTTCAGACGGAAACACAGTGAACTGTTGTCAAAAGCTGATGACAGACGGGCGTACTTGACCCCCATAAACTCTCGCCAACCAGCCTCATGCGGTAGTGGCGCCAGTCAGGCCGGGGAAGTTAGAACTAAATCATGAGTGTAGCAGCCATCAGTTTAGCCCTTATGGCTTACTAATGTTCTAACTGTGCTGGTCAATCTGGGAGGATTATTTTGTTGAAACTTATTTTAGTCTTTGGTATTTTAAACACATTCATTTTAAAAATAAAATAACTATATCAAAGATGAACAAAAATGTATTAATAAAAATAAAAGGATTCATTCAGTAAAATTTGGATTCAGTCAAAAGGCTGCAATTAAGGACCTAGAAGGCCACAGGTCCCCCACCCCTGGCTAAGACCCTGGCCGGCCAGCCCAGGGCAAAGAGAGCACTGGGGAGCAGTGGGCATCTGGCTGGGACCTGGCTCTCTGTGTCCACTGGAGCATGGGGTAAGGATGGGCCGACCAAGGACTGAGGCCAGGGATGGGCTGGATAGTTCGATCTCATGACATGCTGCCCCAACTCCTTTCTCAATGAACTTGATGTACAGCCTAAAGCTCAGATCAGAAATGACTTTGTAAGGATGTGGTCTGTGGTTGCCAGCACGGGGTGATTTCTGGGGTGATGCCTCTCAACAGAACTGGCTCTGGCTTCCCCACTTGCAGCTGGGTGTGAAATTCTACCCCGACTTCAGGCTGCAGCTTCTCAAACTTGAATCTATATAACCCCAGGGCTGTGAGAAGCCACGAGATGGAAGAAACTGCATTTCAAATGGAAAAAAAATTAGTTTTACTGAAAATTAATTAACTCATATTTGTACAGCAATTAAAATAAATCAATAGGTTTTATTTGGATATTTGGAAGGATTCATTTATGTTTGGGGATTCGAATATTACAGCAAGCACAAATATAGCATGGAGGCTGGGCACGGTGGCTCACGCCTATAATCCTAGCACTCAGGGAGGCAGAGGCAGGAGGATCTCTCTTGCTCAGGAGTTCAAGACCAGCCTGAGCAAGAGCGAGACCCCGTCTCTACTAAAAATAGAAAAAATTAGCCGGGTATGGTGGTGTGCACCTGTGGTCCCAGCTACTTGGGAGGACACTTGAGCCCAGGAGTTTGAAGTTGCTGTGAGCTATGATGATGCCACTGCACTCCAGCCTGGGTGACAGAGCAAGACTCTGTCCTAAAAAAAAAGAAAAAAAAA